GTATTATACTAGTGCATCGCGCTCTGAATGTATTTTGAATGTTAGGATATGTTGTACTCCTTTCTAACGAAAGAAACATTCTGCACTAGTCAGCAGCCATCGGCTCATTACATCGCCCAGCCAGCTAGCCGTAAATGCATAAGGTAGGAATAAAGTCCGTGCTTGGTTCTAATGGTTGTTAGCAGCCGACTCAAGTTTATTTTGTCCGCTGTTCCGAAACACTTAGCCTCAAAATCATAGAACTCACAATGATCTGTAGAAATGAATGACCTCTATGTGTATGCATGCGAAGCACGCCTAGCTTTATAGGGCTATGCACAGTAAGATGGGTTTCCGTATTTATTAAATCAATGTATAGGTAAACACTTATACATATATGTTACATACGGCTTGTCTTGAAATGTAGTGACCGAAATGCAAGGATCCTTTTTTTGGAGGGGGCCCCAAACTCCAGGGGGCCCTACAATGTTGCGTGCCCCCCCCCCCCCCTGACGGAATCCTGGATCCGCCCCTGGCTGGCAAGACGTCCCAAGTCGACCAATAGTAATGTTCAATAGCTGCAGGTCACTCAAAGGATCCCAGCCTTAAAGGCCTTGATCTGAAGTATCAGACGGAGGGCCTGTTACGCCGATTGAGGAGTCCCTGAGGCAATGCAGGTATTTATTTCAGTCAGAGACCACCAACGCTGCACTGTCGACTCCGCGTCAGTCTAAACGCTAGCAGCCCATTTCCCAAGCAAGAGCAAAAACGAGCCCGCGATTTGATTGCATTTGCAACGCGGTGCCCGCCCTTCCTGCCAGGGTGAGCGGCAGGCGACGTCATATGGCCTCAGCAGCAGAGTGCGTCGTAAAGCCCCAATGACGATATGATTGCATTTGCAAACCGAGGCCATCACGGATCCAAATCCTACGGACTCTCCTATGCGGGCGTCCATTGATATGGGTCCCTGAAACAGTCATCGAGGCCCCCGTGTCGGTCGCGGGCCCGCGGTGCCTAGCAGGGGATCATGCGTCGGCAAGCGGCCTCGAGTCCGTCACGGACTTCGCTTGGGGAGGCCCGATAAGGGGCCGAAGGGCCCCTCGGGACCAAAGATTCGTGGAATGATTAAGAGGCTGAAAGGTTCGAAGAGCCTGAGGAACTCGCCTTAGGTCACAATAAGGTCGCCCCTTCCACGCCCGTAGGGTCTTGACGTTAAAGGCCAGTCAGGGGGGCTGGCATTGATTGGGGATCCATGGAACATTGCGGGCCTCTATTTCGGGCAGACAACACCAACACCGAACAGTCGACCTCGTGTCGTTCTAAGCCCTGGGGATCCTTTTCCCAAGCACGAGCAAGGCCGGGCCCACGATTTGCATTGGTCGAGGCCCCTGAAACAATGAGGGTGTCTCGTCAAGGGCCAACAATGCCTTACAGGGGGTCCTGTGTCGACAAGCGGCTCGTAGTCGGCCAGGGAAACATTTGCTGAGCAGGGGGAGTGACGGGACCGCGGACGCTAGAGGGCCTTTTGCGTTGGTCGGGGAAACAACACGTCTTCAGCTTCCACTTAACCTCACGGGGTGTCAGGTCAGTCAGTGGCGCAGGCAAGGGGGCCGTAGGAGGCATGTGCCTCCCCCGAAGGTACCGAGGGGCCCATTGGCCCCTCGGGACCTATGATTAAGGGTCTAATTGGAGGGCCGGAGGTCGTGTTCAGGAGCCCTGGCCCACAGGGCCGGGCACTTCAATGCCAGCGAGAGGGCCTGTGCGCTGATCAGGGACCCTGAGTCGGTAAGGGCCTATGTGTTGGTCAGACACCACCAGAAACGCACAGTCGGCTCCGGGATGGCACGAGCCTGAGGGCCCATTTCCCAGGCAGGGACACTACAGAGCCTGGAGGGCCTACCAGATCCGACGATCAACAACGTTTGCTGTGGATGGGCCTTGACCTGGTCGTCCCATCGCGCACGGTTTGTAGGGGTTTTTGGGGATACACAACAGACATGGAGCACAGGACTGGACACAGAACACTCGGCGATTTGAGATGTGCACCTTATCTACAGCTAAGTTCAGATGTTTTGTCGAATTATTGGCGCTTCCCAGCTTGTATTTGCCCTCATACCGCTACCAATGGCGTTGCCAACTCCATCGTCATGTTTCATGTATGTTTACAGGCCGGATCCCAGGCAACACCGCTTGCTGTTTAAAAATCACGACTTGATTGCAATGACAACACCTGAGCCTCAACGATTCTCGCTGGTATTTCCACCACCTCGGCACTCGTAAGCACATAAAATTCAAACCAACGGACATCCCCCGCTAATGTCAATCTTACTTAAACAAGTACTCGGCCGCCGATACCATCAGGACCATCGGCAAAAAGCAAACAAACAAACGCTGGTGAATGGCCCAGTTGGAGGGTGTGAGGGCATAAGGGCTGGTCAGGGGCCTATTCGGGGGCCAGCCGAACATCGGTAGAGGGGTCAGGCAGCACTGGAGTCTGTGACATTTATTGGACCACTTGCGGCGATCAGGGATGTTTTTACGTTAATGAGGGTTCCTGCGTCGATTAGGGTTTAACCACTCGGGTCAGAAGGCCTCCCGCGTCAGGGAGGAGACCAACGCGATGGGATCTATCCCTCTTACCTCTCCGAGGGCCTTCGGATCGGTCAGGGGATCCCCGTGTAGCCGAACTGATAGCTCGAAGACACCCCGCGGTAGGACGGAGTGTCTCTTCAGCCGTTGACCGGAAACAATAATGTGTCCCGCAGTGTTCTTCTGAAGGGGACCCCTTTCCCGGAAAGAAACAAGCGGCCCCATTGGTGTTGAGAAGAGTGGGTCGAAATGAGCTAAGATACGAACAAGATCACCTCACGTTTATGTGAAAAGGTTCCGTCTTTTGCAGAATCGATTGATGATGAAAAAACAAAATGAATGATATCAATGAAGCCCAAACGGGTTGTTTACGTCCTTGCTGAACGCTTTGAGGCGATGGTCAAGTGCCTTTCACGGACCGGCCGGATGCACTCTCCTAAGCGATTAGCGGAACACTAGAGTGCATGTGACTTGGTACATTGCACTATTGGGGGAGCAAATGCTATCAGACCGAGAGGCACACGGGACGTGCGCCCTTTGATGGGGCACATTTGACCATGCAGCTCGATACGCACTAGTTGTTTTGGTGAGCTTAGATTGGTCTAGGCCACTGCATTTTGTGACACCTTTTTTGCAGTCGTCTTCCTCGCGACATAACTTGTCGATATAGGCCAATATGAAGTGCACCATAATTTCTTTTCTTTGTAGCCGGTGGTCTTGATGGTGTTGGCAATCAAGTACTTGTTCAAGTAAGATTGACATAAGCGGGGGGTGTCCGTTGGTTTGGATTTTATGTGCTTACGAGTACCGAGGCGGTGGAAATACCAGCGAGGATCGTTGAGGCTCAGATGTCCTTGCGATCATGTCGTGATTTTTAAACAGCAAGCGGTGTTGCCCGGGATCCGGCCTGTAAACATACATGAAACATGACGATGAAGTTGGCAACGCCATTGGTGGCGTCGTGGGGCAAACACAAGCTGAGAAGTACCAATAAGTCGACAAAACATCTGAACTTAGCCGTAGGTAAGGTGCACATCTCAAATCGCTAAGTGTTCGGTGTCCAGTCCTGTGCTACATGCCTGTCGTATATCCCCAAAACTCCCCACAAACCGTGTGCGATGGCACGACCAGGTCAAGGCCCGTCCACAGCAAACGTTGGTTAGCATCGGCAAACGCCAAGGGACCCTCACACAGTAGCAGGCCAAAGCCGACAATACAGGCATAAGGTCCGCTTCCAATCCGGTACCAATTTTTCAGTCCATAACGCTCAACAGATACATTAAGTCACGAAGGTACGGCTGGCAGCCAGCTGCGGCGAGCGGACTGGGTTTGTTTCTCGTTCACTGCGCGATGTTTTTGCACTCTGCTGTGCATCAAACCACATGGCATACCAAAGCGCTACCCTTACGAATAAGAGGCATCGTATGACACGACGTAATATTACATAGTGATATAAGAAAGGGACGAGGCCGCATAACATGCAACAAGCGTGCTCAACCCTCTGTAATGGCTGAGATGGGAACTTAAGAATACGATCGTACAATGGCTGATCGCATTTCGCTCTCACAACACAACAAACTGTTGCTCGGAATCGCGCCTGTAAACAGATACGGCTCTTTCACTGCCGGACAGTTGCCTACACAGCTGCTACAGAGGGCGCCAAAGGTACGAACATCTATCACACGGCAGCGCCGTCGAAAGCCCCACAAACGCAGCCCGAAGATTATTAAATATATTCGTAGTAAGAACACCAAGCTGGACGCCAGACAGGAGTGGTAACGCAGACAACCAAGGTCAAACGACTCCACTGGGTGACATCACACACGTAAAGAAAGTTCGGCCGCCCCGGGACGAGACAAGAGCACCCACAGTACGCAGAGACAAACGAGGGCGAGCGGACCTCTGACGGGAGTGTTGGCATCCCCACGCGGACCGGCCCGCTCCATTCACATACTGAAAACAGCACCTCTATCCTACGACGGCACATGCTAGTGTTTATCTCACACACATCAAGACCAACAGACCCGGACGAGGCTGCGAGACGCATTTTGCGGAGCTCTTCACGCTCCGGTGTCGCACCTCGTGGCCGCGAGCGCACGCACCGCCCCAGCGGCGGACATCGGCCTGCTCGTGTGATCCGTTCGGAGCGCGCCCGGCGCAAGTGATTGACGACCGCCTCGACCGCGGCGACTCGCGATCATAAAACAATCAAAAACGTCACGATAAGCCAACAGGTGTCCAACAAATAGTCGAAAAGACACCGACACGCGCACAGGATTTCCGACAAGGCGACGGGCTAGGCGGAAGGCCGCCACGGGCCTGCCGAGGCGGCGTCGACGGGCAGCGAGTCCAGCTGATGCCCGGCAACGCAATCAAATGGAGGGACCACCGGTAAAGTGGAGTACAAATGGGGGGGGGGGGGGGGACGGGGGAGGCGGGCGGGCCGGCCCGAGATCCAGCGCCGACCGGGGGAGCGCCGCGCGGCGGCTGACTAGCGGATGTTGTAGTTACTCGTGTATCACACAGATGGCGGTGCGAAGCTCCGCTGGGCCGCTCGGCGCCGCCGCGAGCTTACACGTCCACCACCATCTTCTTGTGCACGTCCGTGTTTCCCACGATCTGATGGCGTGGTCCCAGTCAGTTGACAATGACAGCATTACTGCTCTTTTAAGGGCGGGACGTTGCCATTATGGGAGGGGTCGGTGGGGCGTGACTTCAAACAACGCAGAGAACAATGTACCTAAAACATCAACCTCGCAAAACTTTTCCCGTGGCTTCATCGCTCCTCGCAACTTTTCGAACTCTATAAAAATAATACGCTTCCACAATGAATGCAATCACTTCATTATTGTTAATCTATACTGGATTACTTAATATCTTCGTAGTAAAAACACCAAGAAGATGGCCGCCAGACGTGAGCGGCAACGCAGCCAACCAAGGCCAATCGACTACACCCGGTGACAATGACGTCACACACGAATGGTCGACGGCAGGATGAAAATAACGCACCTCCGACAGTACGTTCTGCAAAAGATGATTCCTCTCGATGCGGTGCTTCCCCGCGAAATGTTCGCTATATGGCGGCAAAGAAGCATGCCACCTTTAGCGGAACCATCGCGGGGTGTGCGACAGTGGGAAAAGGAAGGACCGCGGGCCTCACCACGCAAAACTCCTCGAAGCCGATCTTGCCGTCCTCGTCCTTGTCGGCAAAGAGGATCGTCTTGTCCACGATCTGCTGCAGCTGCGTGTCCTTCAGGTTGCTACCCACCATCATCTTCAGCACCTGCGGCAGCCAGGCGTGGTTACGCTGGCGGACGGCGGCGCCCAAAGACGGACAGCCGCGCGGGACCCCCCTCCCCTCCCCCCCCCCCTACACCGAATCACGGCAACTGAAGCCGTCGTAAAGACAGCGATTCACAGGCAAACTGGGGCCTGACGACATTCTCGGACATGTCCGCACGATGCATGGGGCTTACTTGGCCCCTTGTCCCGAGTCCGCCACACACCGTGGTTCCAAATGGGGCGTGCAATAAGGCGTGGCCTCATGTCGCACGCATTCCAAAGACATTAGTTCACATGCATTTGTTCACATGTGCTACCGAATCAAACAATTAATCGGCACGGAAGGCAGCATACTGCTGGGCTACGCGTGAGCTCTGACGTTCAACGCAAGAAAGCCCGTATAGTGCGCATCCTTCGAAAAACACCCTCGGGAACGCCGCGGTGTCCTCACTCGACCCCCCCGGACCTCACACCGGCGCCACCGACCTGGAACAGCTCGCCATTTGAGATGAAGCCGTCGTTGTCCATGTCGTAGATGCGGAAGGCGAAACGCAGTTTCGAGTCCTTGTCGCCTTTCACCGAGAACTGCGACACGCCCGAGATGAACTCTGCGGGGTCAGGACCAACCGGGGTCAGCAAATGAGGGGATCGTAAACTGAACTCAGCCGAGTCATTAATCGAGAAATTTACGGCACACAATAAAACTCAGGAAACCACTTACCGCGGTGGGGGCTCGAAGAAAAAAAAGTTCCTAACCCTACGAAATTAGTGTCTGTAACACGGTGTGAGTTTCCAGCATTGTTACAGCGCCGCGCCGCGCACCTAGTTCGCTGCCCCGCATGCTAGCACAATATCGCCTGAGGCCCTGCTCGGCGCATTCCGTGTCCGCGACCCTGCCGCCCCACGGCTTCACTTTGCTTCACTCTTCACTTGGCTCTGTTAGTGTGGCAGCCGCCTTGGGCGCCGTCCCGCCACGTGCTGCATTCCACAGCGTGGCGGTGTCCACTCGAGGTTACGCGACGTCCGCGTGCCGCGGCACGCAGGTCCGTCGACACGCGTCATGCCGCGCGACCCGCGCAGTCTACAACGGACGGATCAGTGGCCTGCCTGGCGCTCCGACCACCTGGCCACGACACTGCGCCCATCCGAGGGACGACTCACCCGATACCAGCCCGTGCGAACATTTCACTGGTGCGGGGTCCCGTCAGGCCAGGGGATGCTGACGACCTTTAACACCCCTCACGTCCACACGGCACGCCGCTCATCGATCTGGCGACGCCGAGACATCCACGGGCGCCGACCTTTGAAGTCGACCTCGCCGTTGCCGTCCTCGTCGAAGATGTCGATGACGCGTTGCACCAGCGGGTTCTGCTGCAGCTCCGGCAGCGACATGAACTCGTCGACGCTGAGCGCGCCCGAGTTGTCCAGGTCCAGCTTCCGGAACCGCTTGCCCAGGCGCCGGATCTCGTCCGGGTCGACTGTGAACGGAGGCGACGCCGTCGAAGCTGCGTGTGTGTGTTGAGATGGGGAAGGGCATGGGGACACTGCGTGCAGGGTTCTAAGTTTAGCGCTGCATTTTACTACGTAAAAAGAGTTACGCCACATTGTCAATAAACTAAATGCGTCCAGTGGTTCAGAAGTATAGCCACAATACGTGCCACTTAACAATTAAGCAGGTTTAGCACTATCCTCACAGTCCCTTGCTCGTCCCGACTACGACGAAACAGAAAAAAAACGCGTGAGCCTGAGGAGACAGCGGCCGCGGCCACACACCGGCCAGCGCCCCGTCTCCGCACATGACGTCTGTCCCCTCACGTCTGCCGTCACCGACCGCTCACAAACAACGGGACACAACACATACATCGGCGGTGGGTGCGTCCAGCGCCAGGCGCCAACACAAACGGCCGGTGGGAGCGTGGCCAGCGCGGAGGCGGTCGTGTGCCGACCCCCCCCCCCCCCCCCCCCCCCCCCCGGTTGCGGCCAGCCCCGGGAGGCGCCAGACTCGGCGCGCATCTAGTACCGCAACACAGCGGCGGCCAGCTGCCGAGCGCACGCGGTCGAGATACATGCCCCGCCGCGAAACAGGCAGAAACGTGGGAGCGAGAACCACCTGGAGGGGAGGGGAGGGGACTTGCCCGCTTGGTCCTGTGAAAATCACGACGGATAGGAAAAACTTAGACGCGATAAGCCACGGTACGGACGGTTAGCTCCGGAGTTCATATGTTAAGGAATGGTAGAATACCTTGTTCAAACAATGTCGCTGATGAGCTTCAAAAGGCTCTCTGCGTCAGCGAGGCGACAGGCCCAGAGTGTGTAGTTGAAGCAACCGCTACAATGCGAGCTGTCGGGACCAGCCAGTGGGAGCTAGTCCTAATCTGTTCCGATATATGCAGCCAAAGGCCCCACGACAGATGATTTCGGGTTCTTTTCCAACTGAAGGGTAGATGTAAACCGACAGAGAAACATCACCACCATTGACTGATGACATCCGTGTTAACGGACGCATTTTGCGTCATGTCCCGTTGGGTCACGGCGTGCAGTCGGCTAGAAACAGAAGACCCAGGGGTGTCCTCTTGCTTCGCTGCTCGAAAGGACAGCGCCGTTGCTAACAGTCACGCATCCTATCGGAACTACTGGCTAAACGTACTGCAAATATACGGTAGTGCCCATCATATGTGCTCTACTGCGACATTGTCTACGCACAATAGCAGCGACAGTTCACCAACACTGGAGAGGCAGTCCACTGCGGGCACAGTCAACACGTAGTAGCTGTCGTAACTCTTACATTTATCTGGGCATAGTTCGCTGTAAAAAAAAAAAAACACCAGCGGGAGGAAGCTAACGCACAATACAGTTCTCCGCTGTCGTAAGTCTTGAATCACGGCAGTGGCAGCTCCTCAAACAATATATGCAGTGGGCTGTTTCACTGGCTTTTCTCGTCTTTTTCTTTGTAAGCCGCCCTTTGCAATGGAGAGTGTCTCGAAAAAAGGGCGCTTAGTTAATCCCAGTTCGAGTTGCTGGGACGCCTTTTTCGAAGCCCTAATTTTGCTCGTCTGGTGTCTCCTCCCCACCAACGTCAAATTTTATCGTTACGACACCCACGGTCATTTTTCACTACCCTTTCGCACGCGCTACGGCCGTCACCAACGGCGGAGCGGCGTCAAATTACGCAGCGGAACGTCACAAAGGTTGTACCCGTGGTGTATGCCAATGCTGCCGCCAGCGGTGCCGCCGTCTGCGCTGTGCGTCTCGCCAATAAACCCAGACACGCACGCGCGCATGCACGCGCAAGCACAACCCCCCCCCCCCCCTCCCCCCACACATATGCCATTAATTTAGTTGCCTGGACGTTTCAGTGTCTAGCACGCTGCATTTGAACTATTTGTGCCCATATTTCCAGTTGTAGACGATTGGCGGTGGCTTATCAGTTGCAGCTCTGCTGCATTCTCGAATGTTGAAGATGATTTAAGCGGACATTTGAATCTGATGTATGCGGTATCATGTGCCGTGGACTACAAATCCCACGCATCGCCACAATGGACTTAAGCGAAGTGTTCCACATTTGTATGGGATTTTGAAATGAAATAGCCGTCTTGCAGATGGGCGCAAAATGACTCCAGAAGTCGGTGCTTCCTAAAACCCAATCATCATCAGCCGTCTTGCAGATCATTCGGCGCAGTTCACAGTCCTGCCCTGCTTACCCTTTTACGGACTAAACCCCTCGAGTTTCTGAGCCAAATACTCGCGAAGATGTGCAGACTATTTCGAGGAGGCTATTCAATGTCACTCCGGCATCCATGACGTCATAATAACGTCATTCAAATCCTGCCATACCTACAGCCTTGCGGCGATCCAGACTAAGCAAGATATAATTGCCGAGTCGTTCATATGTAGCGTTCGTGAGCACGACTTTCAGACACAACAGCCATCCATTGGTTTTTAATCTATGTTGTGCAAGGTACGATGACATAACCAAACGATGACGTAATCAGGAACATATTCAATAAAAGAGAAATTAGGTTGCTTTGACCAGTCTCTTCCATTAAAAAGTATACCAATAGTTATGTTAACAGAGAAATTAGGTTGTCTTGGCTCTTCCATTAAAAAGTACACCAAGACTTAGGTTATGTTACAATATCTGATGCTTAAACATAATATCTAAATGCTTCAACATCTTCAAATGTAGAGCATTCTCCTCAACATCATTTGGCCGGCTTCGCGACACGTAACAGGGTACGCACGCTCCAAGCCCGGACGGGCCATGATCAAAACGCGCCGCTGACCTGCTACGTTACGGTCCAGCACGAAAAGTGGTATGGCCTTCGCAACAAATCTCACTGCAGCTCAGCAAGCTGGCAGCGACAATACAGAACTAGACTTCTACTCACATGACATTGCTGAACCTGCCACAAGTGCTTTAAGTGTGCATCTAGTGCCAGACTTGGGAAGCCACCCAAAGTCTATTTAAACAGAAGGCAGATGTCAGGTTTTGTAGCATGTCAGGTTTTGTAACAACGTACATCAAAATTAAGGAAACACAACACAAATTTCATATCTTCCACTTTCCTGGGGAAGGGGGAGGGGGGGGGGGGTGATCAGATTGGTCCTTTCAGATCCATTTTGTGACACATCATGCAGTATTGCATGCTGCTGCACTGCACCAGCATCCTGCATTTCCACAATAGAGCTGGGCACATTTCTGGTTGGCATGCGAAACACAAAAGAGCTGTTCGAAGGAGCCATCTATGCCTAGTTTGCAGCAACACAATCCAGGACATTTCATGCATGATTCAAATGCAGAAACATGGGGAAGCACTTCTGGCAAATGCAACACCAACTTCATCAAAAACAACATATAAAATTGGACAGGGCAAATTCCCTTGCACCCACAGAACTTGGACATTCTAGGAGTGGACTCCCACCCCTGAAACCACAATGGCCAGAATGTGAGATGACATCTGTTGAGGTCAGCTGTTCATGTCACTACCAGTGAATAAGTTCATCAAATGCTACTGCTGCTTTCACACCAATCATAGCTGAGCTCTAGAAATAACTAAGAAATTTGATACTGCTCCCCAGACATAGATTCACATGGAAAATAGCTCACTTTTGCTGGATGCCTACTTAAAGCTGAGCAACAAACTGAAAAATGAATGATGCCAATCAGGGCAGGGCAGGCACACAATAATTAAAGCCATCAGGCAAGGTCAGAATTTTAGCTGCAGGACCTACTGCTGATGAAGATGAAACAATACTGAAAATACCAACTACAATCATAAATTTGCAAACACAAAACATTAAATTTCTCTACCCACACAAAGGCATGTGGTAGGTGAGAAGTTCCATTTAAGCTACACATTGTATAGTGGAAGAAATTCAAACTTCTTAGATGCATCACAGAATCACATAACATACACTAATCATATGGAACCAACCAGATGCATCAATGGTAAGGGCACCCATTCATGCTCCAATGTTTATCTTATTTGCACAGTCCATTCTTAACTAAAATGTGTCTACAATCAAACAAAAATAACCACACCTTTCAAATGACACAGTGACATAAAAAGTATAGTGACAAAGGTTAGTAGGTAGGAACACTTACAATTAGAACACATCTCCATTGGAAGTGATGCCTCATTGCCCTGGAAAAGAAAAATAATATCACTTTTTTACCTTTTAAATTACCTCAGACAGGAAGAACTGCCAACTGTCAAATTATATCTCATCCATGTGCTCACAACATGTAGATTAACAATAAACATTAATGTATGGAACATGGCAGGCCATAAGCATAATGGTTTGAAAATATGCACTGCAAAAAGTAATAAACATATGGTCCTGATGCAAACTAACTCTTGCACAGTGTCCCAATTAGAAAGGAACTATGGGGAATACAATAGTCATGGCTGCAAACAGTAAAGAGCAAAAGGCTACAAAAGGCTACAAAAGGCGACTCAGAAATTGGGTTTAACATTTGTTTAGTGTAATGCACCTTATACTCTCAATATGCCAAGTTATGAATAACATTATGATGCACTCAGTACTCCAATTCACTAATTTCTGATATGATTTTTCAGAATGCTGTCTGATACTGGAAGTTGTGCTCCACCTATGTCCCAAGATCTTGGCAAAATATGCTGTGTTTTGCAGACTAGACAATCAGGAATGATAAGTCATATCAGCCATGAACTTGCAGCATCTTGCTGCAATGCTGAGACAGTCAGCAGGAGACAGCATGAGACAACCATGATGGTTGTCTCCTCTTCAGGTATTATGACTTATGTAACACTTTCAGAACAGACATTTCCCTTCACAATGACAGCATGCCCAAATAGTACCAGCTTTTTTGGGCAGCATTCCCATGACTGGTATGAGTATACTGGAATAGTATTTTAAGAATGGCAACAAATCTTGTAGATCACACTGCTAAGCATCAATATCAAAAAAATGTACACAAATGCAATATGTACATATCTTACCATCTTGGCTCTGTGATGTTGGGCGATGAGGGCAGAAAGGCACTTTAAAGTGCCCTAAATGTTATTTTGAAAACTTTCAAAATGCTTTGTTAGTTGTCCTTTAGGAATGGCAAGTTTCTCAATTCACAGCTCGGTCAACACGAAACACTACCAACTATTTTCGTCGCCTTAAACCTTGGTTATCAGCGAAAATTTTATGAAACAGCGTACACCATATGAGAGTACATTAACGACTGGCGCACAATACTGCGACTTAACACCACTGTGACTGTAAACTCGCACCTACAACCCTCGGACCAACTGCACGCCCAACAAACACTCAATCTTGCATACAACCAAGGCTATCTCATCCGACCAAATGCACCGAGCTGCTAGATGCGCCACTATCGCCATACAACTGCACTCAGCTCACGGACACAATAAATGTGATCGCATTGGTCAGCTGCACAAGCAGCACACGTATTGACCAATAAGGTTCGGTTCCTCCCAAGGCTATATAAGAGAGGTAAAACTGTCTGGTGATTTTGTTTCTTCTTTAATTAACGTTAGCATGACGTCACTGAAACCAGGACTTCAATGCGTCGCGGACCGCTAAACACTTCACGCGTGGCTAAGCGACTTCCGAAATGTCAAAATATTCGTGCGGATAATGGCAAACACGTGAGCGAAATGCACGTGAACAATGAGCCAACAACGCACAATGTTTGTCATCATGATGATGCGCTTGAAAAGAACATGTAATAAACACTTTAAATGCAATGGCGTGAAAAGTGAAAACGAGCATACCAGACTTCTCGCAACAGGGCGGCAGTAACATCGGCGTATCTTAGTACCACGGACGGATCCATTGCGGGCCCCCTGGAGTTTGGTGCCCATCCAGAAAATATGATCGCATCTCGGCCGTGGAAATTTAATGTATTGTATGTATATGTAGTTATATATATATATATATATATATATAGTTATATATATAGTTACATATATAGTTATATATTAATATCTAACATAGTAAATATGGGAACCTGTTTCACCGTGCACAGCTCCATAAAGCTAGGCATGTGCAAGTTCTGCTGTTCCGGTGTCTTGCCTCCGGCTCACTGGTACACACGGTACGTCCAAAATCACTTCTGCATTCGTCAATCGTCAAAGGCACTCGTCACAGCCCGTGCCGCGGACCATCCGTCCTTGCGCCGGCGGCTTTCAGAATCTTATTTTTGTTTCCCTTCCTCTCTTGGCCCCTGCAGCCTCGTCCCTTGCGCAGGGCAGAAGGTGGGGAACGCGAGCGCCTCTAAACGGCGCTCGTCAAACTAGGCAAACATTTACTGGTTAGCACATAGGTGCTCTCTGACACCCTTACATATGCGCACACATGGAGCTCATTCATTTTCTCCAGATTATGTTAGATCCTGTGTCTTGAGGCGTAATGCTTCGGAAAACAGACAAAATAAGCTCAAATTGGCTGCTGCTAGCATCAAAATCGAGCACGGACTCGAAGACTTGCTTATTTACGGCTGGATAGTGTAAGCAACTGGTGACCGATACCTAATGCAGAATCTTTTCTTTGTTATAAAAGAGTACAAAACATCCTGGCATTCAAGACATGTTAAGAATGTAGTGCACAAGTTTGGTGAGTGTCACACACTCGTTAGCCAAGGGAAATTACGCGTGTAACGTCGGTAACACGTAAAATTACGTTCGGCAATCTCGCTTAAAAATTCATCAGCGCATTTCCGGTTTCTGCTCTAAGGCTAAGGCACCAACGCCAATAGGGACGGAACCTCACCATTCATGGGTGCTCCGGGAGGCTAACAAAGAGTCTCTCGTCAACAAGTAGTGTCCTCAGAGCAAGCGAGGAAAAAACAAGACCAACGTGGTGGGCCCATCACGATCGGTAATGCCCTGGCAGGCTAACATACAAGACCCCGGCCAGAGCACAGGGCCCTCTGAGCAGAAGGGAATTACCCAAGACCATCAATTAATACCCCTGTACGATCAAAAGTGCTCGAGCATGTCAAAACAGAGAGCCACGATAGGAGTGAAAGTCCTCCGCGAAGGAGATTAAAGCGAAAGAGTGCTCGATAAATGTAGAGGAGAGCTGAGCATCGAGTGTCTCAGTGCCTTACCTTATATAATCCTCAGCAATAGCACAAGACTCGCCGAGCAAATGGAAAAAACCCGAGACTAATGCGATGGGCCACTGAGCAACTGAGTGTACCCTGACATATAGGGCCCCGGAAAAAGCGTATAGAGCCTTTCGGGAGAATGGGAAGAACCCGTAGAGGAAAACCTGATCAATCAAGAGTGCCCATGCGTTGAAGAAGATAGTGTGTCAACAGTAGCGTTGAGATTACCTACGGGAAAATGCAGAGATCAAAGGCAACGTGGAATGCTTCTTGGTGATGAGACCGACCCGGAGAGGGGACTAAAGGGGCCTAGGCAACAGCGTAACGTTTCCGGACAGCGTAATGAGCTTCAAAATTTCCCTGGGTCACTAACTTTTTAATCAGCGCATAACTAGCTTTGTTTGCGAATTAACTCTGTACTTTTGCTCACAACCGTTCTTTGCCGTCTGTAGGCCCAAACACGTCCAGTTTTGCTATGCTTTTTCCGCTTGTTTGAAAACTGCGTCCGTTCGGCCGGTTGTGAGCCCCTTCGGAGCCTATGGGTCCCGTCGGCATAGTCCATGGGCGCATGGTTCAGCGCCTCCCCACCCCGTCACCCGGCTGTATCTACCACGGACCCGAGCAGCCTAACAGAGAAGGCATCGTCAAGAACATAGGATTATCCATTCCAGTTGAAGGACCCTAGACACCGTATACGGGAACCGGAATGATTGAGTGCGCCCGAGCAGGTCAACATATAAGGCCTCCCATCAAGAGCGTAGTGTCTTCCGTTAAAAAAGAAAGCACCCAAGACCCGATGTAAATGGCCCCCGAACCGTCGAATCTGCCCGTGCGGGTTATCAGATAGGCCCCCGACAGGAGCATTGGGCTCCCAGTTCAAGTAAGAATTACTTAAGACCCAGTGTGGGGATCCCCGAAAGACTGAGTGCACCCGAGCAGGCTACCAGATGCCCGCCAACAGGAGCGTGGGGCTCTACTTCAAGATACCCAGTGTGTGGGGACCGAAATAATGCAGTGTGTCCGAGCAGATTAACAGATGGGGCCCGGCAAAAAGCGTAGGGTCCTAAGCAAATCAGAGAGAATTGGAAGCCCCCTGGACCAATATAGAGGGCCTATGAACTTATCGTGCGTGTGTCGGTAGGTTAACCGAGACCAAACCGTTAAGGGCCATGAGCGACCGGGAATACCCCGGTACGGGGTATATGGGTCTCCGGCTACAGCGCACAGAGCCTTTCTGGCAAATGGAAAAAATCCGTGGAGGGCCCCTGATTGAAAACAGAGCCCCGGCAAGCAACAGGAAGTGTCCAGCAACAGCGCAGGGCCCTCTGAGCAAATGCAAAAAAATCAAGGGCAAAGCGGTAGGCTCATTAACGATCGGAGTGACCCTGCATGTGGACATATAGTTCCTCCGGAAACAACAGAGGGTCCCTAGGCAGTATTATCGGGCTTAAGATCCCCAAGTAATGACTGTTCAATCATTTAACAATTTTTGTCCATCCGTGCGCCCCTCACTTTCGCTTGCGACTGTTTTTGGTCGTTTGGAAGTCCATAGACGTCCAATATTGTTGCGTTTTGTGTTTAAAAATCTGCACCTGTTCAGCCGGCTATGGAAACCTTCGGATCCATGCCCCCCCATGGGTCCCTCAGGGAACCCAAGGGGGGGGGGGCATAGCCCGTGCCCCGTTGCTCCTTTGATTGTTGTAATTGATTTTCTTAGTGCAGACCCGCGACAAAATTAGCCTGCCCGGGCCGGAGGTCTGAGACAACCGTGCTCGGCCGGCGGGGGGGGGGGGGAGTAGTTAGCTTCCCTTGGCATCCCCAACTTCCGGACGTCGGAGGAGGAAAAAGGATACTCTTGTGAACATCTCGTCAAGTATTGAAGCATGCACGTCAACTTTTTGGCGTAAGGTCAAATGTCAGATCAACAGGTGTCACGGAAGGTAAAAACAGTCGTTATGATAGATGAAGTCAAAACATATGCCAACATGTTCAGACAGATATTGAGGGCACAGAAGTAAGCGTTAAGACTGTGGAGGGTCCATTCTAACCATTTGTATTTGCCCACAAGGGTCAGGTTAGATCAGGCCACCGCTTAAATTGGTCTACCAGTGGCCTTACGAAAACGATACTTTGTCGCTCTCTTTCACAACGTGCTTCTGACAAAGTTTATTTTGTTACGTGCAGCTGACACATACGCTGACACATGAACGTATCCTAGGCACACAAATATGAGTTTAGGCTGACCTAGAGATCAACTGAGGTTATCTCAGGTCAAATTTATAAACCACCAGCACTATAAATAATTCGAAGTGCCAACTGGGTCAAGAGACCAGTACAATGCTTTTGTGCGGTCAGAAATAGTGCGTCAAATATTGACTGGTATTCAAGATCGCTTAGCCGTTGTGCGCATTGCACATAGTCCCTCAGTCACTTGGTCGACGCTTGGTAATTTAATTGTAACAAACTAAGAACAGGCACGTTGGTACATGAAATTATGCGCCATTGGCCTTATAAACGGGACATAAACATATGGAGATGGTTACAGGCGTCGCAGTCGTTCATCTAGCCCCTGCTCTACTGACAACAGAGGTCATTGACCTTGGATGATCTCATATGACCTTACGTAGCCTTAACAGCCTCACTGTCCTCACGTGACCCACTGTGACCTCGTTATGCATTAGAATAATATCACATTTTTTCAGCGAAATATTCTAATTCTGTGCCCAAAATTACCCCAAAAAACTGCCTATTTTGAGCCCAGCATGAGTTTTTCAGAAGGTACCCATAGAGGTAAGTCATGACCTGGACCAAGTTCACGTGGTATGAGGCCATATATTGGTTGTGCTTGTGAGCTATCACTTTTCCTCACATTAAAACACCAAAACTGCACAAAAAACCTACAAATTTGCGTTGTTTACGAAAAGATAGCACGAAGTGGCCTGACCCCAAGCCACTGATTTCACTTGTTAAAAAATTTGAAGTGACCTGACCTCAAGTCACTGGTCTCACTTGTTAAAAAATCTGAAGTGGCCTGACCTCAAGTCACTGATCTCACTTGTTAAAAAATCTGAAGGGGCCTGACCTCAAGTCACTAATCTCACTCGTTAAAAAATCTGAAGTGGCCTGACCTCAAGTCACTGATTTTGCTTGTCAAAATATTTGAAGTGGCCTGACCTCAAGTCACTGATCTCACTTGTTAAAAAATCTGAAGTGGCCTGACCTCAAATCACTGATCTCACTTGTTAAAAAATCTGAAGCTGGAAATGAGATTTTCCACAAAGGACGCATAATCCACAGGTAAACAGGTATTCAAAATTTGGTGTTGCTGCAAACTCTCG